ATGTCATATTTTTATAGTTAAAAAAAAAATACATACGGTTCAGAACGGATTAACCATATTTACATTGAACCGTATGGGAAAATTTGATTCGGGTCGCAACCAAAATCGGTTGGCAACCAAATTCGTAGGGGTACCTCGGGTCACGAACTTAATTCGTTCCACGACTCTGGTCGCGACCCGAATCAAATTTTCCCGTAAGGTTCAATGTAAATACGGTTAATCCGTGCTGACCCCTACGAATTTGGTCAGACCCCTACGAATTTGGTCAGTACTGTACTTTATGTCATATTTTTATAGTTAAAAAAAAAATACATACGGTTCAGAACGGATTAACCGTATTTACATTGAACCTTACGGGAAAATTTGATTCAGGTCGCAACCAAAATCGGTTGGCAACCAAATTCGTAGGGGTCAGAACGGATTAACCGTATTCACATTGAACCTTATGGGAAAATTTGATTCGGGTCGCGACCAGAGTCGTGGAACGAATTAAGTTCGTGACCCGAGGTACCACTATATTTATTTTCCTTTTTTTGTACCAGAGCTCAAGGCTCACTCTTTCTATTTAGCAACTCTGTGAGGTAGGATGGGCTGAGAGAGTAAGTGGTCCAAGCTGCTCAGTGAACTTCAATGGCTGAGGGTGGATTATGAACCTGGTTCTCCCCACTTAGTCCAACACCTTATCCATTGACTACACCAATCACTAGGGGTCTTTCAAATGCCTAGGTTTTTGGTTCAATGTTGCTGTGGCAAAAGAACTGATAAATGTCCATTCTAATGTAACAATATTAAGAAAGTCAAAGTAATGGTCCTATCTGTTGAATTCATAGTTTCTCCAGTATTTCAAAAACATCCAGGAAGAAATGGGAAATATCACAAGAATATGAAAATTGCAGGTGTTAAAACTATTTCACAAAGTTTCCATGACTGCAGAAAGATTTGATTCATTTTGAAGAAAGCATATTTAATTCAAACTACACTATAAAAGTTCACACCACAAGCAGCCAAATTAGAAACCTGGACTCAGAGATAAAAACAATTTCCACATATTACTTGAATTTATATGTCAAGTATTCGTTTGTTTTGGCCAGCTCCACAACAGCCCTGAAATCTATATATTATTGGTTGGACTACACATTCTTTACTCTCATATTATTACTTTTTTGTATGTGAAAATAAACAATTTCACAACTTGACTTATTTCATCCTTTTCTTTCAAATATGATCTTTTCTGTTTCTAAAAAGATAAACTACTTTTTTCTTTTCTACTGAGTCAAATAAATATCCATAGGACATATGGGAGGAAATGTGATGAAGGTAGCATCACAGAAAGAACCGTTCCTTTATGAACAGAGTTTGCACAAGAGATTTACTTTGTGATTATTGCTACTAGAAAGAGAGATGTAGCTCTCAAGCATGTCAAATCTGCTTTAAACAGTTAATTTTTTTTTCTTTTAGGGTTTTTTTCACACAATATTTAAAATCAGTTTGCTGAGTTCAGCAACAAACCTGTTAATAGCCTGAATGTACATTAGATTCCATCACATACTGTATGACAAAAAGGCTGAAAGATATTTTTAAATATAAATTTTAAAATATCTTTATATATTTTTATATTATATCCTTATATATTTTCAGATTAAGTCTTGTTCAGAGTTACTGTCAGTGCTATGGAAGTCAGAAAATCTGAAAACTTTATTTTTAAAAAATTAAAAGATTCTACACCAATTTGCAAGACACAATATGCAAGCCCCCACCCCCGCCCCAAATCCTCTCTTATTAGGATCAAACAAGCATTTGCTGCATATTGCCCAATCATTTGGCTACTCCTCCTATCTATGGCTTATTTAGCATTACGTTCATTTGTTCTTTTCTTAAAAAGTTAAATTCATTATCAAAGACTCAGTTAACTGAGTAATAAGAAATAGGTGCAACTCCATCATAATATTTTGAGACAAAAACCATCAGAGAGAAGGCTCTGGTTTTATTTGTGTCTACGTCTGTGCATGTGATGGAGTATCTTAAAACAATGACCCTCATCTCAAGTACATCATTTTAAAATGAATGACAGATTCATCAATTCTGATCTGGTGCCATTTTATAAACTTTGCTTGTCCAGTGTTAGTAAACCAAAGCAAAGACCTGTATCTTCTTCAAGAGGACAGAACCTTATCTTGTGTTAAAAGTCGCTGGTTTTGCAGTACATTTACAACTCATAAAAGCAGCCATTTAATTTGCCTTGAAGCATTATCAACTGCCCAACAAGACTTTTAAATTAAGTGCAGAGGATGGAACAACAGTGTTGTCAGGATGTCACAGAATAAGCCACCAAGCTGGCTGTCCAGTTAGGTCACAGCACTGAGTTGTCAACACAATATTCAGATCAAAGGGTAAACCCCTGGTATAAGAATAGCAGATATGGGATGGAAAATGACAAGCCTCTCTTAATCTGAGAATAAAACTTAACACCTCTGCTTTACATAACACTACAAAAACCCAGAGGGGAAATAATTACGTATATTACCACAAATCCCTCCCCATCTAGTGTTGTTTATCATAAGGCAATCATGATTTTAAGACCATTGGCCATATAAAATCATTTGTTGAAGTTTTGCTTTTTCAGTATTTTCATAATATTTTAGAAACAAGAAAAAAAAAATCCCACAAGTCTGTTGTGGTAGTTATGATGTCTACAGTGGAACATACTAGGAACAACCCAGAAGCCAGACAGTAACACCACTTGGCTTCTTGGAAGACAAAACATAGGAATATATCTGGAAGAGAGAATTTTCTCTCCTATGAATGTGTACTGACATTATTCTGCTTTCCCTCTCTAAAAGTGATGGTTATTGTTGTGGATTAAATAACAAAACTGAATTTATGGATTACTGGTTCGTGAGACTGGGAATAATTCTATATGCTTGTATTAATACAATAGACAGCAAGCATGTGGGACTTCCATCTTGCACAGTGATTAGACTCCCATATAAAGTTCTGTGAATAAAGTAAGAAAATAACACACACATTTATCTGCAATCGTAAGGATATTAATTTGTGAAAATCCCATTGAAGACAAAATAGAACATATCACAAATCTCCTCTGATTGCTATGAGGTGAAATCCATAATACTGGCACTATAAGGTTATCAGTATTTGTATATATAGTACTGAACCTACTGTTTTCCATGTGTACATTCAGTATCTAAATTATTCATTATAAATGTACTTGCTGTTGATGAGATGTGGCTAAACAGCAAAAGATTAAAAATGTAAAAATGTAAAAAAAAGTGTAAAACATTTCAGACAACACAGTATTTTCCAATTATGTTATCAAAATAAAACATTTTTTACTATTCAGATTGATCGGCACTTGTATAGCTCAAAGAATTTCTGCACTGCTCTTATAAATATAGACCATTTATTTAAATATATAACTAACAATTACCCAATAGGGTAGTCTTCCTCAACCTCCACAGCTCCCAGAATGGTCTGGTATCTTGTCCAGTGTAACTGGCATACTGGTATCCAATGGCATAGTTATAGAAGTAGGTGTTTGTACCTTTATATCTAAATTAAGGACTAAAACTCACCAGAGTAGAAAAAGAGAGAATTGATGTTTTGTTTTAGGTCCCTC